GGGAGGAGAGCTCTTAACAACATCTGCCTGCACACAACTTCAAAGTACCTATCCTCCTGACTGACTTTGTGCTCAGAACTGTGGATTCGGCCTAGTCCAATCACCCGCCTCCCCCCCCCCCCTTCTAACTATTCCCCACCCGACTCGCTTGTTTCACCCACTAACTCTCTCACCGAAGTGCCGGCTTCGAATGGACCTCACCTGACTATGATACAACGACAGGCAAGTAGGACCACATGGAGTGCAAGGAAGAGCTGTTGTAGGGCGCAAACGAGGGGAGGTGGGCTGAATGGGCTCAGGGGGGCCAAAAGGGAAAGAGTAAGGGCTATATAAGAGAGCTGGTCAGGTATTTCAAACAAAAGGGTGGTTAGTGCAATCTGTTCCCATGGGACGCTGGACCCGGTTTCCAGCAGGTGTAGCTCCGCACCTATAGACAGGAGCCATCTACCAGGTGGAATCACAGGGGGCTGCTTGTATCACCCCCTGTGACACTCCCCACCGTGGGCCACCGATCATGGCCTATGTTTTCCAAAAAACAAAACATAAAAAGCATGGGATGTGCGATGTCATGGAGGAAGGGTGATGATTAGAAAGAACTCAAAGGTTCCATGAAAGAGAATAGCAGCTCAGACGGGCTCATTGCTTTCGTATTGTTTTTTTATTTATTTATTTATTTTAACTAAGCTTTATTCTTCTCACAATTTCACCTTTCACTGTCTACCTACCACTTCTCCCAAGTCTATACAGGGGACCCCTGCAAGCATAGCTACCTCTCATAATTGAGGAGATGCATGTTGCCCCCCACCCTAATCGGCAGTGGTCAGGGAGTAGGGTGGGGCCGCCGGTGTGTGTGTTGGGGGGAGGGGGAGGGAGGGGGCCTAACGCAAAGACCGAGCATTTTGCCAGTAGCTGCACCTCCCATCTACTTCCCCCACCCCCCATCGATTAGCAGTAGTGGCTATTCCAGGTATTCCCCCCTTCCCGGGGACAACTCCAAAGTGACGACCACCCTGCAGGCTCAATCGGAGGCTCTCCACTCCCAACCTCAGCACCGACCACCAGGGCACCCTCCTAATGGCCCACAGCAAGGCCCGCCACCAGGGTAGCCTACCAAGATTTAAGTCAGCCCACAGCCGGCAGATACCCCTATTACGGACTTCCCCTCTCACATTCAGCCATCTGATCAACCTCTATCCATCCCTGACTACCCTCTCCCCCCATGGAACCTACCACCTGAGACTCCGCCCTCACCTCCCAATTCCCTTCCCCCTTCAATCCCCTATCCCCCCTTCCCCTCGGCTCCACCACCTGTGACCCCAACTCCACCCTTTCAACCTGTCACAAACACACCCAAACTCCCTCCAGTCTGATTTTGATCAGGCTGGCATGTCTTTTAATTTTTTTAGACAGCACGGTCTGTGTTGCTTTGCAGGGTGTACTGCTTTATTATGTGAGGCATTTCTGATGTTTGTTTGCTCAGTTGTGGGACCCTTGCCACACCCCTCACCCCTCTGTGTTCCCTTTTGAACTTTCAAAGTCGCGTTACAGACGTCAGGCCCAGGTAGTCTGGTGCAGTGAGGCATTTGGGATGTTTGGATGGAGGGGTTAAAACTTAGCAAAGCTATGCTCTTTTTTTTCTTATGGAAGTTACCGTAGATTGTTTGTCATGATTATTGGGTATGGAGAATCTGTTATGACAGGTATGTTGAGAGTTGAAGCCTCCTGAAGCATCGCGAAATCGAGGGCCTCAACCCTGATAGGCATCGTAATCGAGCCATGAAGGTCAGCGATGATGATTATGACTGTTATACCGCGTCAAACGCGGGACGCAGCCATTCGGGTAGCATGCTTTCTGTTCTAGACAGTAAGCTTGGCAAAGGTCTTATGAAGTGGGGGATAGGCAGCCTTCTGGATGGTAGTGTCCAAAGCCAACACTCTCCCACACACCACACGCAACCCACTCACACGCGCACTCACACCCGTGTTGGCTGAAGATCTTACTGATACTGACTGGGAGGATCCAGCTCACTATCTCAGTTGGATGGCACCAAGAGTGCCACAGGCGGCCGTGGGGATTGAACCCACAACCTCCTGAATGCCACTTGCGTGCCTAACCAATTGAGCTAGGATGCTGGATGGAGCCCAGATTCTTCTATCGCAGGAGAAAAAAAAAAAAAAAAAAACTGAAAAACGAATAGCAAGCTACTGAGGGCTGTACCACCCCACACCCGGCCAGGAAAAAGGGCATTTCAAGCTCTAAACTACTAGCAGTGTATCTACCCATGCTCTACCAGAAGATTCATGCTCGTTTTGCACATTTGGTCAGTAGTGGAGCAAGGCCTTGGATCTCCACAGCTCTCGTGGCAAAGGTAAGTACGCTTTTTCTTCTTTTTTTTTCCGAAAGTCAATACGTACGTTTTTTTTTCTTTTCTTTTCTTTAGTAAGCCCTGCCAACGAGGCAGGGCAGTCCCTTCTAGATTTTGTTACTTGGGCGTACTAAACAGCAGAATGCTTCGATACTGTATTTCTGGGAAGATGCAGTAGAAGAGAAAAAAAACGAAAGAGGAAACGACCCAGACCCAAATCGCCCGCCCACACCCATATGGCCCACCCCCAGTTTGCAACGGGAAAAAACTCTATCCCTCAAAAGGGAAACAATAGACGGAGCCCTATACTAAATTGCAACGACCTTGACAAGCTAACCTACCCTACGACCGGTCTTAGGGACGACTGCGACCGGACCCTATTTTCTGCTGTCGGAGACCCCAAACGAACCCGTCCTAGCGAAGTTGTACTGCACGACCTTACCAAAAAAAGAAGGAAATGAAACGACGAAAATGAAACCCACACAAGCGCAGCCTCCTGGCTGCGAACTGAGAATTCAACCTGAGGATTCTTTTATTGGGTGGGTCCCGACTGGCCGCAGCAGGACCTGAGCAGCCTACTATGTGAGGTATGAGCATTCCCTCAGTTGGTAGACCCATGAACTGTTGAAAATACAGACCTGAGTTTGCATCGATCTGCTATGCTCAGTTGCACCCCTCCACCCTCTTGCCAGCTTTGCCTAAGCTCACGCATACTCACAATAGGACTTCTTTTTCCCATTTCTGCAGGTGATTGTAGTCATATTTATGGAGTCCGGCAATACCTGCTGTCAGATGCACTTCAGAAAGTGCTAGTGTGAGTATCCTCAGTCAGACCTACTCTCAGCCGAAGCCGGGTGATGGCCCTGGTAGGGCCGGTAATCCAAATTGTTCTGTATACATTCTCATATGGGAATCTGGGCCCCGGTTCCCAGCACGTGCTGCTCCTCAGTCAGACCTGAGCTCTCATCCATGTGCTATGTTCAGCTGTGGGGGATGGGGGGCTACCCACCACCACCACCACCACCACCAAACACACAAACCCCTCTTCCCCGCTATGTCAGCTTTGAGGAAGCTCAGGACATACTCACAGTAGCACTTTTTCTGCCAACTGTGACTAGGGGACTGACTCACACCACTCACCAAATGCACAAAATGAGAATGAATGGGCCTGGCTCCTCTACTCTCCAGTCTCCAAAAAATTGAAGAGTACTTGGAGAGCTGTCAGACTCTCCAAAGAGGCTGAGTCACCACTTCACTTACTTTCTGTCAAAGGACTCTCCAAATTTTCCAAAAGAACAAAAAGGCATGGAAATCCCTGTTTGTCCCCGCAGGCTCCAGGCACGCTCTCCAAAATCCGGCGCTCATCAGCCTCTCAGCAGAGAACTCTCCAACTTCTGGCTTTAGCAGGCTGGGAACTCTCCAAGCTTGGAGAGTGCCTTTCGAGGTCATGTTCTGATCAGCTCTCCAAGAGTTTTCCCGAGCCTCAATTGGAGAGTAAATGGGGGCAACGCCGAACTCTTCAAATTCGGAGAGTGGAGCGTAGTGGGGCGAGAGCCAATCTTCCGCTAAAACATGGAAGGTACAAGGCCATAATTTTCGTTTTTTGTGCATTAGCCGCATTCCTTTTCATAGTGGTAATGGAGGCACTAGCAGCTAACCTCTGCCACAACAAGAACCTACAAAGGATTCGGATCGCAGGGATTTCGGATTAAGCGATTCCCGTTTGCTCCCTTTTTGCGGACGACCTTACTTTTATGGTAGAGGCCACGAAGGAAAACATGGAGGAAGTACGACTCATAGCCTTTTCTTGCATCTTGTCAGACATGGCAATTAACTGGGGGCAGAAAATGCTGGGTTGGTGGCTCCACCACCAAGGAGGACGCCCACCAGAACCGCATACATCCTGGATACCCCCTCAGATCCCCATTCGGGTCTTAGGAGTCAAAATGACGGCACAAGGCTGCCCACTGGAAAATGATGAATGGCTAGCAGCCCCGGCCCTGACAAAACTGTCTCAGTTGAATCACAAACATACATCATTATTTGAACGGGCTCAGGCAATGAACAATGTGGTGTTGGCAACTTTTTGGTACAAATCCGTTCTTTGGCCACTAAGTGTTACTGCCTAAAAATCCCTTAAACGAAAAGTGACCGCCTACCTCTGGAAAGGGGACAGTGAAAGTACTAATAACAATCAGTCGGGTGGCTTGGGACTCGGTAGTGCACGGAGGGCGGCCGCCCTCCGAGTTTGACCCCGCGGCCGCCCTCCGAGTTTGACCCCACGGCCATCCTCCGAGTTTAAACCCAAACCTACCTTATTTAAATTTCCTCTTCAACAAGGGGTGTGTTTTTTTTTTTTTTTTTTTTTTTTTTTTTTGTGCCCTCAGCTGAGAGATTAAATGGTCATCACTCTGAAATTCAGATACCCACTCCGAAACCCTTATCATCTGCTATACTGTTTGCAACGCCATAACGGGGAGAGGCATTCGAAGTGGGAAGTTACAAACTCTACTGTAAGATTACCTGCCCCAGTGTGCCCCCCTAGTCCTTAGGATCATCAAATCCACTCAAACAAGGAGGCACCGGTGCGCCACGTGGCAAAACGCAACGAATTCGCATAGCACCTTTCTGCGCCGCCACGTGGCAAATCGTAGTTTATACCGAAAAATTATATTCTAGCCAGAGGATCGAACCCAAATAGCGATCCCCATGTGGCAGGGCAGCAATCAATCACACCAGCATTCAAGATGCTGATTCCACACTGCACCATCTGCACTGCCGGATAGCGAGATCATATATGCTAAAGAGCGGCAAGAGCTGTAGTTCACCAATTCCATGTGGCAAAACGAAAATCCGCAGACGAACAGTTACCACATGACCCAAAAGGGCACGATGAAACGAATCACTCACACACCGCCATACGCGACCCAATTATGGAAGCTTCCCTATCCCACCCCTTCGCGCCACCATCCAATTCCCCGCGACCCCGCACAATCTTCCTGAACATAAGGCATTCCAATCATCCATCCCACTCGCCCATACCCCTGACCCAACAACCGAAAACATCGGCAAGAAACGGAGAGGGGAGGGTGGGGGAGGAGGGGGAGAGACTGCCCACTCTCACTTACCACCCGGTGAGAGTCACTATCATCCTCTTTGTTGTTATTATTTTGGTTGTCGCCGGCCGTATTGTTGTTGCTGATGTTGTTGTTGCAACCACTGTCGTTCCCAGGCGTGTTATCGCCGGCTGAATTGTTATTGTTATTATCGTTGTCGAAAGCGCCACCGTTTCCTAGCGTGCAGAGACTCAAGATCCCTCCTCCCATTCCACCGGCGCGCACAGTGTAGTTGTTATTTGCTCCCTGCTCCACGGCCACCGTGAGCTCGTTATTTTCTTTGGTGTTATTGGTTTTGTTGATATTGCAGCTTTGGGTGATGTAGATGAGACGGTTATCGTTATCGTCACTGCCCATCTCGGCGTCGTCGTCAGCGACTACGTTGTTGTTGTGAAGGCCTTCCACGATATCATCATCGTCCTCGAAAAACTGCTCCTCCAACGTGCCGCAAAGACCGTGCCCCTCCTCAAGCTCCTCACAGCAGCGCCGCCTCAACGGCCGCAATCGTAGCCGATCCGTATATGCCTCAAGATGGGGGGCCGGCCCCTCCTCCAGCCCCCGTATATTCTCCAGCATGCATCGGTGGACACTCTGAATCCACGACAACGACGGCTCCATCCTCCTGGTAACAGTTGTTCGCAACATCGCCACGATCTGTCTTAAACGCACGACACTCATTTGGACAGTGCTGAACCACTCAGCTGCACCCTGCAGCTCACTCGAACACGCCATCTCCATCATCCACGCAGCTCTCACCCCTTCGTGCCATTGATGTCGAAAGCTGCCGCCGCTGTACCTCAGTGTATCTATAGTTTCACGGCTGGCGTCACCCCTATCTGCGCGTCATGGGACAATTGCGTCACCAACAGCACGCGCCACGTGGCACTCAAGACGCCACATGCGTCTGCCGGGCGCACGCACAGGCCTAGCGGCCGAGGGGCCCCTTCCCCGGGCACTAGTCTAGCCGGCAGACCGGGTCTTGCCGGTCTGGCGGCGACGGGGCGCTAGCGCTAGTGCAGCTTTCGCCAGGGTTGTCACCTTCCCAGTCTCAGTGGTCATCGGGGGCGGAGAGTCTCAGAGTCCTCAATTGGATTCTCAACTCTAACTGGTGCTAAAACCATAAACCCTAGCTACCGTCTTCACCCGAATAGAACGCTCGGTACTACTGCTGCATCTGGACTGAAGGTTGCATCAAATACAGCTATAATGACCGGGTGTTCTATTCAGGTGAAGACGGTTTAGCTAGCCTGTTGAACACCTACTTGGCCTCTATTCTTATGGCTTGTGACCCTTATCCTGAACTTTTCTCTCTTTACTAGAAGGTAGTGCCGTTTCAGGAACTGTTTGTGGGGTGAAACTGGTACTAGATTGCTGGATTGAGAAGAGATTGTACAGGTAGGTCTGGGTCGGGAGGTTGGGTGTCGATTGTTTTTGGGAGAGAAATGTCGTGTCTGGGCAGGTGTAGTTTGGGACCAGAGTGCTTTGTTGGGAGGTAATGGGGCTAGGAGCGGGAGGGATATGAAGGGTTTGAGGGGTTTGTGGCGGGACTAGGGTTGTGTGCTTCCTTAGGTAGGAAAAGAGGTCTGGCGGGGTTTGAGGTTTGGCATACTGTCTGTTAGTAAACGCCAATGTTATGCTGTTGTCACGGACTGTGTTGTTGAGGGTGGTTGCTTTGGTCTCATTGGGGGATAAGTATTTCGATTGTGTGTCTTAGGTGTGGTTATCTGTAGCGTGTAAGAAGGAGTTGATCCGGATGCTGACTGAGTCTGGTGTGCTGATCATTGGACCTGATTCTGGACTGTTGGTCTGAGCTGGGTCGTTCCACATTTTGAAGATTAGACTCTGACCCTTGATGATTGCTATCTTACCCTTGTCCATATAATTCTCCTCAGATTTAGTTTGAAGTTCTTTGGCTTTGGGCTCGCTCGCTTTCATCTCCCTTTTGACTTTGTGCCACAGGACCCAGTATTCCGTTTCTACCTGTCACTGCCTGAGGATACTCCATGCTTCCTGCACATGCATTGGTTGTTTGTCTATCGTTTCTTGGCATCTTTTGAGGCCTCAGAAGTCTGGCTAGCGCCCTGCTTAGTCCCATTCGTCGAGCGTACAACACACGAAGAAGTGTTTCTCCCGATGGACCATACTGTTGCCTTGCGCAGGATTTGGAATGGGTTGATTTGTAAGGGGGGGCAGTCGTCGGGTGTTGTGAAACCTAGTAGAATAAGGGTAAAATTTGCTGTGAAATTTATGCCGGTTATTGAGAACCAAATCTGTGTGATCTTGTTCCATACTGGTTTGATCTTAGGGCATTGGTGGAAGCAGTGAAACAGGTCCTCTATTTGTCCTTCTACGCAATTGGCACACAGTTCATTTAATGGGTTTCTATCTTTTCTTCTTCTTCTAATGTTCAACCATTGATTGAGTGGGATTGCTTAGTAAAATATTAACCATTGCAGGCTTTTGAACTTGGGGGGATGTAGTGTTGCTATTTGGTTCCAGGGTATTTCTTTTAAAGTCTCAGGGTCTATCTCGAGGTGTCTATTCCAGCGATCTGCTATGATTGTTTCTGGGGCTGTTGATCTACGCCTTAGCTTATAACCTAGGATGGTGGTGTAGTTGATCGGGTTAATTCTGTGGTCCATTCTTGTGAACTTTTGCTTTAGATTCCATGCCCATTCCGCTGGGTCATATTATAAGTCGTCTATGGTATTTCGGGGGTGGAATATGATGAGTTGTTCATTTTCTATTACTCTAAACTTTTCTAAGATTGTCTTCGCTGACTGTGACCTGCGCTATCGAATCTTTGTTACCTTTGCCATTATCTGCACCTGGTTCTTCAGAATCTAGACTGTGCATGGAGAAAGTGCGCTAGTTGTTTCTACCGTATTCCTTTCTTATAAATGCAAACACGTGTTCAATGAGTTTCATGAGTATCATAACCGTCCAATCATCGATCGACCACTGTTTATCCTTTTTGAGAGATGATGTCCAATCCAACGGAATGACATTTGTTATATGTTGGTGGTTTTGGGATAGGTTGTGGCATCCTTTGAGTTTTTCTCTGAGTTGTCGGGCCGACTGCCAGTCTTTTTTACGGTCATCCCAGATATGTTTGATTTGCTAGATGCCTCTCCCTAACCAAGTGCCCCATCTTGTGTCCTTTGAGGTGAGGGGGGTGTGTTTTCATTGCTAGTTATCCAAGGATTACAGAAGAGGGGTTGTCTAAGGATTTCTTCTTTGTTTATTGGTTTCCTTAGTTCCGCCGGAAAGATTTATCTCCACGCCTTCAATAGCCTCTTCCAAAAAATTCAGTCTTGGTTCGTTTCGGAACTTGTTTTTTATAGTCCTTGATGTGCTCAGTATCCAGAACGTACCCTCCATGTTTTCTGGTGTCTTGTAGATCGGAATTTGTTGCAACTCTTCTAGAGCCAACGCCCTCCACGGTAGTTTAGGGCTCGTTAATAGCTTTATGATCCACTTGGTTTGGAGAGCTTTTATTTGGTTAGTTGGGTCAAGGATGCCTAGGTCTCCTTGGCTCTTCTTTCTTGTTACGTATTGCCAAGCCACCTTTGTGATAAAACTTTGTCTTGGTGCATCACCTGTCCAGAGGTAGGCTGCTGCTTTCTTTTGTAAGTCCTTCAAGGTTCTTTGCTCTGGGGTCCAGAAAGCTGCCACATACCACATCATTGAGTAAATGGATGCAGTCAGCACTAATGCCCTGCTGTGAAGGGAGGTGTGTATCCTCCCCCAATCATTGAGTTTGCTGGTCATTTTGGCTAGCGGACTGGGTGCCATTTCTGCTGCTGCCCCCTGAATAGACATCTATATTCCTAGGACTCAGAGTGGGTTGCTGGGGTTTGCCCATGTCAGACCTTCTGGTGTATCTCTGGGTGGGTCAAGGTCTTCCTCCGTTAACCACCAGCCTACCGTCTTGCTCCAATTGATGAGCATTTACCTATTTAAAAAAAAAAAGCCAAGGCCATAAACAGGCTAATGTAGAACAGAAAGATGTGGCAAAACAGGTTCTGACAAGGTTGAGTGACGGAAAGAAAAAGTTCAAAAAACAAAGAAACAACGGCGGACATGGCAGGTTTTTGAATTCGGAAAGGCCAAAAAAAAAAACACTAAATGGCACTGTGCTCATGACGCGAGTTTGAATCATTCAACAGAATGCTTTTTACTTTCCCTTTCCCATCTGGCACCACGGCCTGCCCCTGTAGTTATGACATATGTGCCTCTGTCAACGCCAAGGGGCTTTCATTGCCTTTCGAACTCAGCAGCTGTTTGTTTTACTGGCGCATGACACTGTTTCTTTTGCCTAGCCGTAACTCGTTTGTGCCACAGCCGCCATTGCCCCCCCCAAAAAAAAGTTTCACACACACACACACACACACACACACACACAGAGAGAGAGAGAGAGAGAGAGAGAGAGAGAG